GCCAGTGTGTCTTTGTACTTTGTCGTAGATTTATCAGTGTGTTTGTACTCAGTCGTAGATATATCAGTGCGTGTTTGTACTTTGTTTTCAATAGCTCTGGATTCTCTGTGGCCATGGAAAGAATAATCTCAACATGCCGCGTGAGTGGTCAACATGCTTTGTCATATTGAAATGCCCAATTAATCCTTTCCGAAAACCGGGGCATCGTCCCTCTGGGGGACACATACGATCCCGTACTCGAGGGTTTTAGTTAAAACCTTAAAACCTTATCCTTAAAACCTTAAAGCCTTAATACCCTGGATCTACCACTACTCGAGGGAGGAGAGCAAAGCTTCGCGGATGAATATATTAAGGCTTCCGGGCGAGCACACTATGGCACATCTGTGAGTCATGCTGCCATTTCAAGTTGATGTATTTGATGGGCCTGATACGGTGTTAATATACGGTGTTGATATAGGGTGTTGATATACGTGTGTCTTGAACAAGCAGGCACGTCCAGCAATCTCATTCGAGCGAGCGGCAACGGTAGTCGACTGATTCCGTTTTCTGATGTTGCCGGAGTGCGAGAAGCAACCTCCAATTTCGAAAAACTCTTCACGAATACGCGAGATTGCTCTCACTCTCACTGTCTGTGTGTGTGTGTGTGTGTGTGTGTGTGTGTGTGTGGTTTACCCACTTACATGATGGAGCCATCCCTAATCAAGCACCTGAACTGCTGTAATCCCCATGTCATGCAACCGTTTCGCTTCACTCACAAACTGCATATGCAATGCAGCGCGGAGCGCGGACAGCCTATCCCGTGCACGGCAGTTGGCTATAGTAAGGATTGAAGGTGAGATATGTTGTGTGTACGTCTCTAATCTTCCAATAACATCAGGCAGTTCATCCGTCCTGAGCAGTATTTTCTTTTTAATTTCTACGACGTTTCAGTACAAATACACAGAACTCTCGTGCTGGTTAGTTACCCCTTATTATTGGCCTAGCGAGTGCCTTGACCCTTCGTGTGTCGAGCGCTGAGGTGACCATTGCGCTGTCAGTTCCGCTTAGGAGTTTACATACTCCTCGCTGTGTACAGAGATCCCTAGAGAAGCAGCCATCGGTCAGTGATTCAAACCTCATGTGTGCAAGCCTGCGATGCGATCGGTATATTGAATACATGCTACTACACCGCCTGTGCATACGCTGCGGGTCATTGGTGCTGAAGGTGTGCTTGTTAATCGATATTGCCTGCAATTAGTGCCTTGTATCGCCTTCTGTGGGTGGGGCGTTTGGCGTGATACATGCACAACCTCTTATCCACAAACGTGGCATTGCTTAGGCGTACTTGGTACTTGGTACTTGGTACGCCCCTACCACACGAGCCAGGGCTACCATACCCACAACACCCCTCACAGGATCTTGAACTGTTGCACGCTCAGTCTAGACCCACAGATATTCTGTCGGTGGAGTGCCGCAATGGTCTCCTCCACCGATTTGTGCGAATCCATAGTCACAAACGCGTACCCGTCGTTTTCACCGCGTGTATACAGTGTGACCGACAGAACCGTCCCAAACACCGACAGCACCTGCACCAGCACCGCTTCCGTCCACCGAGGGCTTAGCCCAGATACCAGTAGTATTGGTTGTTGTGGTTGTGCCTGTGGCTGTGCCTGTTGTTGTGCCTGTGGCTGTGCCTGTTGTTGTGCCTGTGTATGTGTCTGTGCTTGTGCCTGCTGCTGTGTCTGTTTTGTTTGCTGTTGTTGTTGTTGTTGTGGTTGTTGTTGTTGCTGTTGTTGCTGTTTTGGTTGCTGTTGTTGTTGTGGTTGTTGTTGTTGCTGATGTTTTGGTTGCTGTGTCTGTTGTTGTGGTGATGCCACTTTCACGCTGTCCATGCCCCGTGCCGCCTCCTGTGCACACCCTGCACACTCAGCTTGTCCTGCAAAACTACTACTGCCACTGACCAAATTGGGACTCCGATTCGATGTCACGGTTGCGGGCATATGTGACGGTTGTGGTGAAGCGGTCCTGAGTACATGGGGATTGAGAGATGGGTGCGGATGTTGTGGCTGAGATGTCTGTGGTGCATAATTCATCTGCTGTGGCTGTTGCTTCGCTGGTGTGTGTTGCAAATTGCACATACACGCCGCTGTG